TCAGTCTGTGTGGTAATCAACTGCAAGACATTCCATGGTCTATTATTTACCTGCGGCAACTCAAGGAGCTCGATGTTTCCTTCAATGCTTTGGTAGGTGCTGGTTTTATACAATTTTGAGATTGTTTTATTCAGCCTACACAATATTATTAATTCACAGCAGCTGATCACATGTGGCTTGATATATATTGGAGAAAAGATATTATCTGTACCACATTGTTGTAAGTGTATAATAGGCTCATTTATTACTTATTTCACGATACTAAGTCACTTTTGGCAAATTCTTTTTGCTAAAATGTGGAAAAGGCCAAGGCTTAATTTAAATGGAAATGAAATACTGTATACAATTTTGTGTAGACAGTAACACAACCACATACCGTTATTGGTTATGGTACTTGTTAACCACCTTTTAAAAGTTCCCGGAAATTCAAGCACGCAGTTAATTTGTGTTCTCAAAGAACTGTCCATCCATCAGTGAAAAATTGATCATTAATTCTTTTTGTTTTCTTGTACATTAGCATGTTCATATTTTGTTGGCTAAATAATAATTGTCCATTTATTTCTATGTAAAAAAAATATTTTCAATTATATTCTATGTGTTTATGTTACTCTTTAATTTGCTTATTCACTATGAGCTGTTAGCTGTTATTGTTTCCCCTTATTATTATATTTATCAATTTTTATTTTATTAGAGTGTTCTTCCAAGAATTGTGTGCTATGTTCCAACCTTGCAAGTTCTATCATTTCGGTAAGAAGACTAAAACTTTGCCACAGAAATATATTGTTCCTCAAAGAATAAAGAATCAAGAGCAATATTAAATTAAGTGACTGTGCTTTATTCAAGAGAGTGCTTCTTTTTTCAAGTGTAAGCTGTTTAGTTTTGAAAGCCATAAAATTCATCTGTTAGCCCTTTTGGGCGCCTTCACAGACCCAAATGACAGATTTTCCTACCCTGTCATATCCTTCAACGGTAAAATCCCCACCCTTTCATATACCTGAAGTCTAAAAATGGTACCCCTTTCAGGTGGAGCGTCCCTGTATAGGCCATTATGGAGAGTACCCCCTGGGCGTGGCATGCATCACAATGGCTGGGGCATATAAAGTCTCTATTTTCTTAGTGCTCTAGAGTACTTTTAAAAGTACGTATAAGTTCATGGTGAAGAAAATATTCCAAGAGGACTAATACTAACCCTCCATCCTCTCTCTTTTTTTCTTTTTCTTCAGAAACAACTTTATCACCTATTTACCAACAGAGCTGCTTAATTTACCCAATCTTAAGACTTTAGGGGTGCAAGATAATCCCTTGGTTTCGCCTCCTCCAGCAATCGCAGAGAGAGGAAGAGAATCCATTTTAGCTTACCTTAGAAAGAGAAAAAGCAGAAGAAACATGTTTTCAGACTTCAAGCCATGGATCTCTCCAAATGATGACCTGGTCACTGTAGAGGTATCAACCCTAGTAGAGCTCTGTGTCAAGTAAGTATAGCTCTGCTTAGCCTGCGTGAGATGACAACAAGAAAGTGGTCACTAAGCATGGTTAGTGGCTAATGACACACGCAAAAATGGAAACGTGGGTGAAAACGTGTAGTCTGTCTCGTGTCAAAGAATGAAAAGTTAATTTTCCTTACTTACTGGCTATGGATTTTCTTTTGCAACATTTTAGAAGGTTATTTTCGTTCTTGTGCGGAAATTCTGACAATGTGCGCCCGAAGGTAAGCCAATAAGGTTTAATTGAGTCTTGAGTTTGAAAGCTGCGAAAATCATAACTTTCATTTTATAAATGACAGCAGATATTATCGATGAAGATGGAACTGTTGTTAGATGAGAGACGTAAGCAACTGTGGAGATTCAGTAGAATCTCTGCCTGCAAAATCCTACCATAAATGTAGATGAACACTAAATTTTACCATTAAGCAAATACACTTCCTCGTTCACCCAAACAAGTCGACCCAAACAAGTGACAAACTTAACCTTACAAAAAAAGGATTGTGTTGGATGGGATCCAAGTCGATAACAATCAAAATATTATGATAATTAAAAGGCTTGCCAATAAAAGTACTTATATTGATCAGGGAATGCACGTTTGATGAGTTCTGATGCATGGGTCATCCCTGTACTTTGTGGAGTGTAGCTTCCAGCTTAATCTGCAACTGATCACCACTACTGTGGTGCTGTACCTGGGATACTGCTCCATCCTATGGGAGCATACACTGCTAAAAACAAGAGCATCCCATTAGTCAACTTTACAAGCATGCTTTTTTCATTTGTAAAAGAACGAAGTTTATCTGTAGTTTGACCAAAGCCACTTGCGTCTTATCTCCAGCATGCACCACTTTACCTGGGGGGAGGGGGGGGGGTACTGGCATATTTGAGCTATATAGGTATGTGCCACTGTGAAGGGTATGATTTTCAAGCAGTTTACTCGGGGATATGGTATATATATCAGAGAGTTTGGGTCTAGAATAGGGTATCATTTTCCAGGAAACTGATCAATTCATCATTGAAGATTTCAGTCTAGACCAGGGAAACCAGAAACGCTAATCAAAAATGTAAAATAATCAGTTTTGTTTTAGTTGTACTGTGGTTTCTGGAAAACAGCTACTCTAGGAAAGGGGGGATTTGGGGAATTTAGTCTAGTATAGGGAAGCAAAATTCACTTGAACTATATGTCTGGTTTAGGCTAAGGGTTACAGGGTCACAGCAGCACATAGCCACCCAAAACTTTCGGGTACATTACGTCAGAACAATATAAGGCTGGTACAGTCATGGCATTCAAGGACATGATGTGGTAAAACCTGTATTTATTACCACCTCTCTAAGTTTATAATAATGAACAGTTGATGTTTTTGTCCTAGTGGCAGACAGTCCGTGCTTGTTCTGAACTTTTCCATTCTGAAGTTTTATCTGTTTATTTGTCATTATATAGAAGCCACTGGATCCAGATAATACAACGAGAGTTACTGTTGCCCTTGCAGGGATCCTGGCCTGCATTGCAAACTCTCCATTGGGAGAATATTGTGAGTAGTCATTTGGGAGCAGCACTCAAAAAAAGACACCAGAACAAAGAGCTCCCTTTCTCTACCTTTCATGGCTCTGCAGCTCTCATGCAGTCATTCTCTTGCTGATCGATTGCCACGCAAAAGTTAATGGAGAGCTTGCTTACAGGCTAATGGGTGATCAGTTATAGTGACCGAGTTTCACTGTATGCTGTATGTTTAATCCATTATTTCTCAATAGCATTATTGTTAATCCTTTCTAGATTTGTCTTTCTGATGCTGATGTTTCATCTGCAGAGGAAGCAAATATGATATTACAAACCCATAGCAACCCTCTGCAAGTTGAGGAATTTATTCTTGAAGGTATGTATATTTTATAAAGCTTTTTCAGGGCATTTATTTAAATAAATTGGCTTCATATGAATGTACTATCATAGAGTTCCCAATCGCCATCCACCTATTTGTTCTGTCCATGTATTTTAGGGTCCCAGAGCCACAAAATATCATGCAAATAAAAACAACAACAACAACTTGACATCTTCACAATTTGTGCTCTGCTAGTTATTTAATTTCACTAAAAGTAATGACCCCATTATGCCATGCAAAATGAAAATTTTAAATCAATCAATAACTGACAAAAAAACAAGGTCTTTATAACAAGGGTGTATGAAAAGGCACGTAAATACTCATCAAAGTGATAGCGTTAGTAATTCACAGGCTTACAAGAAGTGATAATTATTTTCAACCAAACTGTTTTTTTCTCTGCAAGGAAAGCCAAGCATACACAGCATTCCTATCCAACTGTTTTACTTCACAAATTTGCAAAGGCTCAGTCTGTGTGGTAATCAACTGCAAGACATTCCATGGTCTATTATTTACCTGCGGCAACTCAAGGAGCTCGATGTTTCCTTCAATGCTTTGGTAGGTGCTGGTTTTATACAATTTTGAGATTGTTTTATTCAGCCTACACAATATTATTAATTCACAGCAGCTGATCACATGTGGCTTGATATATATTGGAGAAAAGATATTATCTGTACCACATTGTTGTAAGTGTATAATAGGCTCATTTATTACTTATTTCACGATACTAAGTCACTTTTGGCAAATTCTTTTTGCTAAAATGTGGAAAAGGCCAAGGCTTAATTTAAATGGAAATGAAATACTGTATACAATTTTGTGTAGACAGTAACACAACCACATACCGTTATTGGTTATGGTACTTGTTAACCACCTTTTAAAAGTTCCCGGAAATTCAAGCACGCAGTTAATTTGTGTTCTCAAAGAACTGTTCATCCATCAGTGAAAAATTGATCATTAATTCTTTTTGTTTTCTTGTACATTAGCATGTTCATATTTTGTTGGCTAAATAATAATTGTCCATTTATTTCTATGTAAAAAAAATATTTTCAATTATATTCTATGTGTTTATGTTACTCTTTAATTTGCTTATTCACTATGAGCTGTTAGCTGTTATTGTTTCCCCTTATTATTATATTTATCAATTTTTATTTTATTAGAGTGTTCTTCCAAGAATTGTGTGCTATGTTCCAACCTTGCAAGTTCTATCATTTCGGTAAGAAGACTAAAACTTTGCCACAGAAATATATTGTTCCTCAAAGAATAAAGAATCAAGAGCAATATTAAATTAAGTGACTGTGCTTTATTCAAGAGAGTGCTTCTTTTTTCAAGTGTAAGCTGTTTAGTTTTGAAAGCCATAAAATTCATCTGTTAGCCCTTTTGGGCGCCTTCACAGACCCAAATGACAGATTTTCCTACCCTGTCATATCCTTCAACGGTAAAATCCCCACCCTTTCATATACCTGAAGTCTAAAAATGGTACCCCTTTCAGGTGGAGCGTCCCTGTATAGGCCATTATGGAGAGTACCCCCTGGGCGTGGCATGCATCACAATGGCTGGGGCATATAAAGTCTCTATTTTCTTAGTGCTCTAGAGTACTTTTAAAAGTACGTATAAGTTCATGGTGAAGAAAATATTCCAAGAGGACTAATACTAACCCTCCATCCTCTCTCTTTTTTTCTTTTTCTTCAGAAACAACTTTATCACCTATTTACCAACAGAGCTGCTTAATTTACCCAATCTTAAGACTTTAGGGGTGCAAGATAATCCCTTGGTTTCGCCTCCTCCAGCAATCGCAGAGAGAGGAAGAGAATCCATTTTAGCTTACCTTAGAAAGAGAAAAAGCAGAAGAAACATGTTTTCAGACTTCAAGCCATGGATCTCTCCAAATGATGACCTGGTCACTGTAGAGGTATCAACCCTAGTAGAGCTCTGTGTCAAGTAAGTATAGCTCTGCTTAGCCTGCGTGTTAGGTCTTTGAAGGGGGAAGGGAAAGGGGGGATCATTTAAGGCATACAAGTACACAGGGGGTGTGTGGGGGATGATGTTAATTAAATGGAAACTTTCCCTTGCAAGAGGGATTTAGAGGAAGACGTTTCCTTCCCACCTTACTCCCACACCTATAGAGTACACACAAGAGAGGGAGTTAGAGGGAGACATTCCTTTCCTAAGTTCCTTCCTTGCCTCCTTGCTTCCTTATCGCGATCTCATGCACCTCTATTTCAGGTATTAATTCCCAGCTTGATTCTACCCAGTTTATGATGCTGATACACCGTTTGTTAAACAAAGGGAAATTGGAATTAATGGTGGACGAGGTCGTCCAGGTTCATCAAACTATTATAATGCAAAACAGTCGGGTTTTTTTTTCTCAAAATCAGTCAAGAACTCGGTAAAGCGTGGGGTAAGAGTCTTAAGCGCGCGAAGCGCGCAAGCCTCACACGCCCGTAGGGTGACGTGCCCGGTTACGTGTGAGGCGGGGAAAAAAACATATTTTTAGCATCTCGCCCCAGTCTCGCTCTCTGTTTTCAGCCTTGTTCGAGACCTTTTGTTTGACTGTTCGCGCGTACTTGAATACGCAAAAATACGGACTGTTTTGCAGCCTATCAAACTATTGGGTCTGAGCATTTAAAAAAGTGCAGAAGCGTATGTAGAGTAGGGGCCCGACGGTCCTGGGTCGCCGCCTCATTTTTAGGCCAAACTGCAGCCTGCAGAGCCAAGGAAAATTATTTTCAAGTGTCGGGCTCCCCTTTTATTTTAGGGTCTGGATGGGCGGATCCCCTGCTTCCTTCAAGATGTGGAACCGCCATTGAAATGGTGGTTCTTATTAGCATAACCCACACCCCTCCTCTTAACAAGAAGGTGTTAATATCGTGGGGAGGGGGGGGGGGGAGATTTTCTTAGTACTAAGTAGTGCGCGCGTGTGAACCAGCGTCATTTTGGTGGGAAAATGAAATTGACAGGTTTCAGCGCGAGTGTTGCACTCGTGACAGTAACAAGTCATCAAATGCTAGAAGTTACACCTTTCAATATAAAGCTTTCCGGAGTGTCTACTCGAATCTAAAGGTCTCCATTAACACGAAATACCTAATGAAAAACTTAATGCTTTTTTACACAGATGCATCCTTGACTGCCAAATAGACTTTCTGGGTTCAAGGGATATACCTCCGCGACTGAAGACAAATCTCGAAGAAACGAAAAAAGAGGATCGGAACTCTATTTTTATCTGTAAATGCGACGTATGTGAAATGTATTTCTCTAATAAGTTTAAATTTGAAATCCACGACTGTGGAAACAAATTATCGGTACCGTAAAGTTTCGAAAGAAACGACAGCTTTTATTGTGAGTTTTGAAATGTTGATACATTCTAGTCTCCCTCGCAGCCGTTTTGTCTTGTCACGCAAACGTTGCGTGACGAGAACAAGAAGACTAGTAGATACGTTCAAGATTTGCTAACAACCATGATATTTTATAGTTACTTAACAAGGTAGGGTAAGAGGGTCATTACTTTTGGAACTTAACGGCATGAGCTAAGATGTACTGATACATTCTGGAGACATTGATCTAGTGGAAAAATAGCGAAGTTGCAGCCACACCTCTGCGTAATGTTACTGTCAAACAAAGTGTTATTCCTTATACGTATACCAGCGATACATAAATTACGACGCTTTCCTCTCTACCTTATGTCACTTNGAAGAAACGAAAAAAGAGGATCGGAACTCTATTTTTATCTGTAAATGCGACGTATGTGAAATGTATTTCTCTAATAAGTTTAAATTTGAAATCCACGACTGTGGAAACAAATTATCGGTACCGTAAAGTTTCGAAAGAAACGACAGCTTTTATTGTGAGTTTTGAAATGTTGATACATTCTAGTCTCCCTCGCAGCCGTTTTGTCTTGTCACGCAAACGTTGCGTGACGAGAACAAGAAGACTAGTAGATACGTTCAAGATTTGCTAACAACCATGATATTTTATAGTTACTTAACAAGGTAGGGTAAGAGGGTCATTACTTTTGGAACTTAACGGCATGAGCTAAGATGTACTGATACATTCTGGAGACATTGATCTAGTGGAAAAATAGCGAAGTTGCAGCCACACCTCTGCGTAATGTTACTGTCAAACAAAGTGTTATTCCTTATACGTATACCAGCGATACATAAATTACGACGCTTTCCTCTCTACCTTATGTCACTTAACACTGCGCTGCATAACCCGGATGAATGCTAGTACTGCGCCCACCCCACCCTCACACCGCAAACGCATGAACTGCAAGGACCTGGCAGGCTAAGTAACTCATTGAAAACTTCTCCCTTTAATTTATACTCTTCTTTTTCCTTTTTTATTTGTTAATTTCATGTAGTAAGAAAATAGAAACCATCAGAGAAAGCAAAAAGATACCAGTCGCATCCTGATGGGTTTAATTATTTTAAAAATTCTTCGATGTCTATACACAACCCAAATAGAAATATGACAGTGATTAACTCATATGCACCACATATAGACATTTTATTTAAAAACATGACATTTTTCTAATAGTCTCTCTCGCCAGATGGAGTTAGTGTTCTTGCTTCTTGTAACTTTGAAAGACCTGCAGAAATAGTCGGACAAGCCGTCAACCTTTGAACTGCTATTTAATGTGAAGTTTTCATAAACTAACAAAAGGCTGCGCCTTGCCTTTATGAGGTATTATCTTAGCTACATTTACTTACTCGCTCTACCCGCGTCGAATAGCTTTGCTAACAGACTTTCTATTGCTTTTTGTCCAAATTTGATTATAAATTCATGATACCGTCACGAATATAAAACAATTTATGCCCAGTTAGAAACTGTACTACTCCGAACTAGTCAGGGTTGTTGTTGTAGATTGGTTTAGTTGCTGTAATGAAAGTAGTTGATTTGACTGTAGTTTTGCGTAAATGGTGTAGTTTGATGTTAGTTTGATGTCGTTGGTATAGTTAGTGTAGTTGTACACAAACTAAGTAAAATACACCAACTACACGGAACTACATTAACTACACCAAACTACACCAACCTTTACCGCAGTGCATCACACTACACGAACCTGCAGCAACCTACACCAACCTGCACCAACCAGCACAACCCTGTACCAACATGCACCAAACTGCACCAACCTATACCATCCTGTACAAAACAACACCAACTGAGAACGGGACTACACTATACCAACCTGCACCAAGCTACACCAAATAACACCAACCTGCACCAAACTGCTGCAACCTGCACCAAACTAAATCACCCTGCAACAACATACATCAAATTCCACCAAACCATAAATCTACACGAAATAACACCAACCAGTGCCAACCTGCCCTAAACAATACTAAACTGCACCAACCTGCACCAAACTGCATCAACCTTCACCAGACTGCACCAACCTGTACAAAACTGCACCAGCATGCACCACCTCAACCAAATTATACCAAACTGCAGAAAACTGCGCCAAACTACACCAGATTGCAACAGCCTGCACCAACATGAACCAACCTGCACCACACTACACCAAACTGTATGAAACTGCACCAACCTACACCAAACTACACCAACCTACACCATCTTGAACTAAACTACACCAACCTGCACCAAGCTACACCAAACAACACCAACCTGCACCAAACCGCGGCAACCTGCACCAAACTAAATCACCCTGCAACAACATACATCAAATTCCACCAAACCATAAATCTACACGAAATAACACCAACCAGTGCCAACCTGCACTAAACAATACCAAACTGCATCAACCTTCACCAGACTGCATCAACCTTCACCAGACTGCACCAACCTGTACAAAACTGCACCAGCATGCACCACACTACACCAAACTGTATCAAACTGCACCAAACTACACCAACCTACACCATCTTGAACCAACTGCACTAACCTGCACTACACTGCACTGCAACCTGCAAGAATGTGCACGACACTGCAGTAAACTGCACCAGGCTGTACCAAACTGCACCAACCTGCATCAAACTGCACCAACCTGTACAAAACTACACCAAACACCACACTTCACCAACCTAAACCAATCTACACCAAACTACACCAGATTGCACCAGGCTGTACCAACGTGCACCAACCAGTACAAAACTGCACCAACATTCACCAAACTGCACCAGCCTACACCGAACTGTAAAAAACTGCACTGGTCAACATGCCACAAACTACACCAAACTACACCAACTCGAACCAACCTCCATATGCATCAAACTGCACCAAACACTAGACTGCAACAACCTGCACTAAACTACACCAAACTACACCACCCTGCACAAAATTGGACCAACCTGCACCAAACTACACCAATCTGCACCAAGCTGCTCCAAACTGCACCAAACTACACCAAACCATACCAATCTGCACCAACCTTCAAGAACTGCCCCAACCTGCCCTAAACTACATCAAACTACCTCAAACTACACCTGCCTGAACCGACCTGCAACAAACTGCACCGAATTGCTCCAAACTACATTAGCCTGCATCAGACTGCACCAGACGTCACCACCACGCACCAAATTGCACAAACCTGCACTAAGCTACGTTAAAGTAACTACGTCAAACTACACCCACCACATCAAACTACACTAATAATATAAATTTTGACTGGGCATGAATTGTTTTATATTCGTGACGGTTATTATAAATCTTTTACCTAAAAAATTAGCAATAACAAATGAATGTTTTGTTGCTTGTTGTTGTATTATATTGGAAAGAGTTGACCGTCGGGTAGTTCAGCGACGTTATAGGATTCTGACACATACCTACAATAACGCTCTAATACTTGTGTGATTCTGTGCCTCCATGACCAAATCCCCCTGGACCGAACTGAGATGCGTAGCAAGGGTTATGACAGTAGGGCTCGCCTTTTCGCTAAAATAGAGCAAACATAGCAAACATCTAATAAACTAACCTGTAACAGTTACCTTGGTCCTGTTATAAGGTGGTTACAGTTGTTGAATTTTATACCTATCTGCTATTGGTATAAATTGCTTGACATAATTCTCTACGAGAGTTACCTCTTAAAATAGTTAAATTCAGTAGAATTAGCTGTACTCCCAACTGTGCGCAGTAATTCTAGAACCACTCGATCGTAACTGGCAATAATATAATAAAGTTCGTTCGGCCGCCAAAGTGTAAGGTCGAGTAAGGGCATTTACCATTGGTAAGAACTGGCCGGCCAAACCAGATCAAACCTGTCCAGCCAGATTATTTTATTTCTAAAGCTACGTGCAAACAAACGGGGAAGTTGTTGCGTCCGTGTTGGCAGAGGTGTGTGAACTGCGCGTGTATGGCCCCAACAATGTTGAAAGAGCTAAGCAATCGGATCCAACATTGTTGTGCTGTACGCTTCGGCGGTCACGGAATAAATGTGTTGGGAGTTGTACGTTGGCTTAAAAGTTTTGACCTTAACTTTGCGCAACAACGTGCAACAGGATTTGCAAACAGACACAACATGTAACATCCAACAATGTTGCGTCCGTTTGCAAGGGGCTTAAATAGTATGCATAACAATGTTGAGTGTTGCAAAAACTCTGGAAAAAAAAGTATTTCATATATTTTCAAGATGACCTGTCTGGCCGGCCAGTTCTAACTACCATGTAACATTTTTTGTAAGTAAGAGCCTCTAAAGTGTGAAATTTTCTGCCAGGTGAGCGCCATTTAAATGAGTCAAGTTCACCTACTACGTATACACTCATAGACCTCATAATTCTCAATGACAATTCCTAATTCTTTAAGAAAATTTGCAGAAAAGAAAGAAATTAAAATTTTCTGGCCAAAAACAATTCGAAACGAAACAGAGAACAAGTCGGTGGACCGATTACTAACCCCGTCTACTGCCCGGGGGAATATCGTAATTTTAAAGGAAGCAGAAGACGAAAAGACGAAGGGGTAAAACGTTTAAGGAGAACTTCTTTCAGCGCAGTTTAAAAGCTCTCCTTTGGCTGTTTGTTCTACAGTGGCCTCCTTTAGAGGTCTGATTAGTCCAAGTGTTCGATGGGTATCCCTAACCCCACTTTACACGGGGGTCCTCGCCCAGGGGAGGCTACTGTCATCAGGCTCCTGTTGTCAGTATAGACTCCTGTGAAAATCTTATTTCGGGTCCGAGCTACATCAGTGTCAAAAGCAAAGGATGTTAAAATTTTTTTCTGCAATGTAACAGCTGTTTGGAGACGACACTTAACAACGCTATAGAAACTTCCTTTTTGGTGCTGTCAAATTTCGTAGGGAATGAGGCCTTACGAACCACCCAGTGTGAACAAGTCACTAGGTATCGTTATCAGCTTTTTTT